CATATTGGTCCTGAACTATGCCTCAGTCTTTTTCTGGCTCACATTCTTCACCTCCTTGGAAGGTTTAATTTTTTTCTAACTTTCCCGAGTAGATGTTAACCTTACAAACAGTTTAATTCGTCCAGTTGAATTTTTGTTGCCGCTTTTTGCATATTGTTCTCTCTTGTCTGATGCTCTAGCCATCTAGTTGATGTCATCTTTCCTAATACTATGATCAATTTTTGTTGGTATGGGTATGGCAAAATCATAGAGATTAACTCCCCAGCGTCCCTCATTAGTTCTATGTTACCTCGCGCATGGTACCACCATGACTGTAACAGATAGTGACCAAAAATCTCATCGCAAGAGATGCTCTTCCAGTTAGGTTTTTAACTGACGCTTCCAGTTGCACTTACGCTTCTATCATCTTACGTTAGAACTCTTCTTTTTCAAAAACTTCTTTGCAACCGGTAGCTACCAGTTTTTTCAGCTGCTGTCTGTCGTAATCACTAAAGTTCCTATCAACGTATAGGAAATATTTTCCGAAAATGATTTCCACAACTGCAGCGAATATTTTCTAGAACACTTAAACTTTTTTTCAACTATGTTCATATGTAAATACTTCTTTTTTAATTTAAATCCAACATCGAATGAATTTTACAGCGCCACTTTTCGATCAAACGGAAACTTAATTATTCAATCAGATGATATTCATATATATCATGGTCTACCAATAAACTATGATAGTATCACAAAAAACTAGTAAAAAAACATAGTAAGCTACAAAAACAACATCGAAGTTTTACGGTTAAATTGCAGAAGCTTAGAAAGTAAACGTTCAAAATTGAAAAAAAAACTGAAAACAATTGGAAAAAACAAATTTCGGCTTTACGGAAACTTGGTTTAATGGGTCAGGCGACCAGCTTCTCTGGACTGTTCATAGTGCAAAAAATGTTGTTTCTCAATTGTTGAAATCAAAGCAATTTTTTGTAAAAATTGATAGAAAAACATTTTTGACTATATCATAGGATCCTTGTAAAACAAATGAAGTTGAAAATTTAGGTAAATCAATTAACTATGCGCATTTCTACTGTTTCAATTTAATTTCGAGGGTTATTATTTTTGACTTATCTAAATGTGGACGAGAAAAAATCTCTTGATAGGATCCCAACAACCTTAACGTTACTAACAAATCAGTACTCACCAATCGCAAAACCAATATGACTATTTTATAACCGATCAAAACAATGGTATTCAACATTACTCACCAAAGAAAAACCCTAATTGACCATATTATAACCGATCAAAACAATGGAAAGATCAATCAAACAAAACAATGGTAGTATTTACGCGATTTATCAAAACAGACCACTCAGTCACAATTTCTACATAAGTACCAGAGCTTCCTGCTAAATCTAATTAGACGAGAAAAAAATTTTCAGGAGGAGGACATAAATCAAACCTCTCTAGAATCATCTGGGAAAGCTCTTACAGGCAAAAAGATCTCGAGTCCATGTACAAATTTTTCACCAACAAGATTGTACAAAATAATTAAAAACGTGCGTCGCAAATATCAATCTTTATCCGTAACGAAAAACCAATAGTGCAAAAACATTGAGCATGAAATGTGGAATATTATGAATAAAACTAGAAACTCAAAAAGAAATCAGCATATCTTGTTTCTCTTCTGAAACACTCCCTCGGTGAAATAATTAGGAATACTTTTGAAATAGCATATCTGCCTTGCTACAAATTTTCAATTTAAGGCAGCTTTTACGATAACAGTACGACAACCCAGCCCTCTTTCCTTTAAGATGATTGAAATTTAATTGACAAAACTGTGGTTCCATTCAGAAACCCTACCAGCGCTGATTCCAAATTAAAACTTTTAAAGGCCAATTTTAAAACCCACTGAGGCCCTATGACCTTCCAGCATGGGCACGAAAAGACGGTTGCAATGAATTATACGCATATCTTACTTTCTCTTTTCAATAAATATCTAAAAAACATATTTTTTTCCCGATAGTCTTGAAGCCCACCAATATACAGAAAAAAGACGACCCAGAACTGCCACAAAACTGCCGGCCAATCTCAATGAAAAACATTATTAAAAGTTTTTGACAAGTTTTCTTACAGACAATTAAATGAACACTTTTTATCGCAAAACCTGCTAAGCAACATCCAATTCAACAACAGATGTCCTGTTCGAAGAGGAGTGCTTTCACGTGGTGAGCTGGATTCCATACGAAACCTCCTCACTTCGTGGATGGACCTTCACAGGCCCCCGGCCTGGAATGGACACCCACCAGTCGCGCGTCCGGGTTTTTGTCTAACAGGGGCGTGGTTCCAGCGCACGACCCCTGTGAGCTAATCAGAGCTGGAGACGTCGAGTCCAACCCTGGTCCCAGATGCTCGTCCTGCAATGTGACCCTCCGCAGTGGCGCTCCGTCCTTGGAGTGCAGCGAGACCGAAGAAAGAATGCAGCGGGATGAGCAGATATGGGAGTCAACCAGAGTGGAGATGCCGGTCACACGGCGGGACCGCTGTAGAGCCTCCAACAGCGATCCCAGCACGGCCCATGGGGTATTTGTATCTCCTGCATGGGGATTGTCCGCCCTCACCAACCAGGGCTCACGTGCAGCGAGCCCGAGTGTCAGGTGACGTGCCACAAGAAATACAGCAATCGTAGCAGATACGCCACGGGAGACTGGAGCTGCCCCAAACACGACACCGCTCCGCTCCCGCCCTCTTTGACGATTGCCGGCAGGGAGGTGAGCAGCCTCTCTTCTTCTCAGCCGGATCCCGACACGGGAGAGAAGCGCACCTGCCAAGGGTGCAAGAAGACGATTGCCCGTAACATGACGGGGATCGCTTGCGCAGACTGCAAAGGCCTGTTCCACAAGGTGTGTGTCGGCCGGCGCGGGTCTACGCGGGACGAGGTGGAGATTTACGCAGGCGGCCTGTCCTGGGCCTGCGGGTGTGTCCCCACTAACTCTCAGCCTGGCAACGAGCAAGACGCGGAAGAGCGTGGCAGCAGAGCTAAGTTCGTGCCGAAAGGGACACTTAGACTCCTTCAGTGGAATGCTGACTGTAAACTAGGAGAAAGGATGAAGAACCTGGACGTGGATATCGCTCTGATCCAGGAGTCCAAGCTCCGCGAGACAGACAAGACTCCGGGGATCAAGGGATACAGCACGGCCAGGGCAGACCGTAGAGGACCCAAACCAGGCGGCGGCCTTATCAGCTTCGTGAAGGAAGACATAGCTTTCGAGTCCCGCCCCTGTTGGAACCAGATGATGAGTAACGTGGAGTCGTCCCGTCTCAAAATCCGGCTGAGCAAGAAAAACTGGATCACGCTCCACAATCTCTACATTCCGCCCAACAGGGACACGAACACCAAGGAAGTGTTGGTTCTTGACAACCTCCCAGCTGACAAGGACAACTTCTTCGGGGGCGACCTCAATGGCCACTCCCAGCTGTGGGACCAATCACAGCCTCAAGACAGCAGAGGAGATCGTTTAGAGGAGTGGATGGCCGACAACGACCTCGTGTGCGCCAACGATGGGTCGGCTACTCGCGTCAACCGGGGCACTGCAGGCCTGAGCTCGCCCGACTTCTTCTTCACTCCGTCGAGCTGGAGGAGCAAGACTGAGTGGACGGTCAGTGAGTGTTTGGGATCGGACCACATCCCTGTGGTGATCACCATCAGATGCACCGTCGGCCAGTTTCCGCAGTTGCAGAAGAACGCCCGTTGGAAGAAGAAGGATGGCAACTGGGCCGCCTTCTCCTCTGCGGTGGAAGAGCCAGCCAGCAGCTGGAACCCACTGGACACAGTTCACAGAAGAGCCAAGAAGTTCACGGAAGACATCCTGAGTGCTGCCAAGGAGCACATGGGGAAGACAAAGCCCGGCAATCATCGCAACGTGGGCATTTCTGCGACCGTCAGAGTCTTGGTCAAGAAAAGGAACTTCTTCCGCAGACGGATCAACACCCACCGCCAAGAATGGGTCACCGCCTGCGGAGATGTTACCGAAGCCGTGTCTGCAGAAAAAGAGAAAAGGTGGACCGAATTTGTCGACACATTAGAGTCTTCCAAGGACTACAAGAAAACGTGGGGCATCCTTGGCTCCATCAGCGGCCAGCCGGACTCGTGCTGCCCTAACGAGGCGATCCGGCACAACGGCAAGGTCCTTGTCTCTAACGAGAGCAAAGCCGATGCTTTCGCTGCTCATTTTGCCATGGAGAGCAAGCTGGAGTTCTCTAGAGAGGAAAGGGGGAAAAACAGACTTGCCAAGATTAGAGGCAACGCCCCCAGCGTGGACGACAGCTCCACATCAGAATTCAGCATTGAGGCGCTGAACAGAGCCATCAAGAAGATGAGGAAGAACGGAGCGGCTGGCCCCGACGACATCCGCCCAGCTTCCTGAAAGCCTTGGGACCTCTAGCGAGGGGGGAGTTGCTGGGGATCTTCAACCAGTCGCTCCACGAGTCGTAAGTGCCGCAGGCTTGGCGGATTGCGACCATCATTCCTTTGCTGAAGGCAGGGAAACCAGCGGGCTCGATCGAGTCGTACCGTTTCGTCAGCCTCACCTCCTGCATCGTGAAGACCATGGAACGGATGGTTCACACTCGTCTGTACCATCTGGCGGAGGCCAGGGGCATCTTCAACCATTCGCAGGCCGGCTTCAGGAAAAACAGAAGCTGCGAAGACCAGCTCCTGCGGATGATCCAGGACGTCAGCGACGGCTTCCACGAGAAGAAACCGAGACGGACCGTCATGGCTCTCCTGGACCTTTCCCGGGCCTACGATAGGGTTTGGAAAGAAAATCTCATCCTCACCCTCATCGACTCAGGCGTCCCTCTCAAGTTGGTGAGATAGTTCAACACCTTCCTCAGCAGCAGGCCATTCCGAGTGATGTTCAACGGCAGCCTTAGCCGCACCAGATGGCTGATCCACGGAGTTCCGCAGGGAGCTGTGACCTCCCCCCTGCTGTTCATCTTTTACATCAACTCCTTGCCCGATGAGATCAAAGACCTTGTCAACGATAGCCTCTTCGCTGACGACCTCACCATCTGGTCCAGCCACAACAACAAAGAAGAAGCTAGCAGATACGTCCAACTCGCAGTCCAGAAGATCGAAGAATGGTGCAAGAAGAAGAAGATGCTCCTCAGGACGCCAGATGGAAGCCGGACATTACGATGGGGGTAACACCCTCAAGTTCGATCCCTGCCCCAAACTTCTGGGACTGGTGATCAACAGGACCCTGTCCTTCCAGCTGCACGTCGACAAGGTGGTCGACAAGGTTCGCAAACGTTGCAACCTCCTGGCCTGCTTGGGGACTTCAAACTGGGGCTGGAGGAAGAAACCCTTGAGGAGAGTGTTTCTTGCCACCCAGCGGAGCATCATGGACTTTGCCGCCTCTGCCTGGCAACCATGGCTCTCCAAAACCCAGATGGACAGACTCGACCGCGCCCAGAACCAGGCCCTCCGTCGGGTTACTGGGCAAGCCGCCTCCACTCCAGTTGAGGCCCTGCGTCTGGAGAGCGGCATGCAGAGCTACCGGACCATCTCTCAGAGACTCACAGCCATCTCCCGGGAGGGAGCCTCCAGGTACCCCGAGGGCCACCCCGCTCGGATCGCCCTGGAGAAGGACCAACCTCACCGGCTCTGCAGAGACAGCTGGAGAGAACTCAGCAACAGGATCAGTTCCAACCTCCCCAACGAGCTCGCTGACAGGGAGCCCCTTCCCACCATTGAGGAAGAGGTTTGGACACCACAGAGACGTTGGCGGGTCAACAACACCGTCGGAGGCTTGGGACGCTCCGAAGAGACGAAACAGAAGGCGACCGAGACGATTCGGAACAGCGACACCACATGGAACATCTACATAGACGGTTCCGCCAAAGATGGGACTAGGGACGGAGGGTCAGCAATGGTTGTTACGACAAGTGACCCCCTCGACCCTCAAACAATCTTCTCCGAGACGATTCGCGTCAGGATGCTCACCTCCTCGTTTGACGAAGAGAAAGAGGCACTGGGAGCTGCAGTTAGGTGGTTGGAGGATAACACCCCTAACAACAGTGACAAGGGCCTTATTTGCACTGATAGCCAAGCCCTGACATCGAATCTGGCAAACGACAGCAGAGAAGTGAGCAACATCACTAGAAATCTTGACACGCTCAACCACGAGATCATCATTCAGTGGATCCCTAGCCACGTGGGCATTGTAGGGAACGAGAGGGCCGACGCTCTGGCCAATGAAGCCTCTGGGTTGAAGGAGAGAGCAAAACCAACCACCTACAAGAGCGCCGTAGCCACCATCAAACGTACGATTAAAGATCCAAGCCCCTCTCACGCCAGAACAGCTCAAGTCTACCAAAAGCTGTCAAGAGAACGTGACGAAAAGACCCTTCTGTCGAGAAGAGACGCAGTCATGCTAGCCAGGCTCCGCTCTGGACACAGCATGCTCTTGGCCGTGTATAGGACCCTGATGAACCCCGCCGAGAGCCCCTCCTGTCCCAGATGCGAGGAGGCCAACGAAACAGTGGAACACTGGCTCCTCGATCGTCCGGGGAAGCTAGCGGCCAGACAAGAAATTTTCGGACGCACGACGGTGGAATTGTCAATTCTCACCGAGGACCCAGAAGGTGCGGTCGCGCTGGCGAAGCGGACCCTTGGGAAAACTTCGGCGCACCCACAATGAAAGAAGAAAGACAACAGATGTAATTTAATCCTGCAATGAATTTGACAAAAATCAATTGATCCCAATAAGTTTGTTGCTAGCTCATTATTAGATCTTTCCAAAGCATTCGACTCTTTTTACCACAGAAAACAATTGTCAACAACAATGAATCACAATGGAACTAATTGCACAAAGGGTCCCTATCAGGGCACCGTTTTGGAACCCCTGATCTTCAACCTGTTTATCAACCACTCAAACAAACAATTACCTACTTCTTGCAGTATGCATATGACACGCTACTTGTGGTACAGTATGCAGATTACACGCAACTTTTTTGCGGAAGTCAAAATTCGGATCTAGCAATGCAATAAAAGAACTAGAAAATCATCGCAAAGTTTTATCAAACTATTTTTTGGACATGCATTACAACTGAACACCAAAAATAAAGAAGCTACCATTTTCAGCAAAGAACATTTATGGAACCATGAAAACGAAAAAAACATTCAATCAAAACATCAGTGAAGAGAAAAGCAATGTCAAAAACCTCGGAGTGATGTTAGATCAAAATCTATCGTTTCAAGAGGAAGTTTAAATAATTCTAAAAAAATGCTTTGCGGAAATAAAACACTGCAATCAATCAAAACCCCTTTCCAATCAAAGGTTGCTTATTGATTATGAAAGCACTAGTTACAAGACATCTTCATTTTCTTGTCGTAATAACAATTGTTTTCACTAGAAAAAAAACGTAGCTGGGCCAAAAAAAATAGCTGCAAATTTGTTAGGTTTGACCTAAAAAACTTAAAATTGAAAAATCATATAATGCTTTCACCCATGTTTCTTGATTGCAAGCTAATATGCCTTTTTTGGAGAAAAAATATCTTACCTGCCTATTCAGAAGTTCAAAACCGAAAAAACACCATATGGAAACAAACATGATAGCCAAAAAATTATACTTCGTAGAAAGATATAATGGACAATTTATAGAAAACTTGTTATTTTAACGATAAGTAATGACTTGAAGGACGATTATAGAAGACGAAGTTACTTGTGGGATATTTTAACATGAACACGAGCAAATATCAATTTTCGAAATTATTTTCTATTTTAACTCAAGTATGATCCATCAGTGGCAACCCCAGCAGTTCATTTAGGGAAAAACAGTAACTCCGTTTGTCATGTTCTTGATCTATAGAATACAAGTTTTAATTATACCTTTTTAGTACTGGAAACTTGTTTTCTTTTCATTGTCATTCAAATCTGACATACATTCGCACATTTGAAACTAATTTCAGATCGCCATTTAAGTGTTTCTTCTATTATTTTTTTTTCTTATGAAACAGCTCTTAAACTATTTTGAAGTTCTCGCATGTCTCACCAAATTTGGTTCGGAGAAAGTTCCTTGACGTTTTGTATCTAAGGTTTTGAAGTGCACTCTGTGGAGACTCTTGCATGAGGGCGCCATGCTCGAAATCTTAAGTATCTTACAATCGCTTGCCTGCAATATGCCTCACCTTGGCTGAGGATCATTTTCATTTTGATCGTTTCAATCCATCTTCTATTTCAATAGCGTTCATTTAGCAACTCATATGACATTCCAAGCGACAAGTTTTTGCCAGACAGTTATCACGTTCCACCTAATATTCCGGTCCCCAAAGAGGCAACTCGAAAGTTTTCTCTCGATTGCTTCTAAGGGGTATTGTCAGTAGGTTTTGCAGAGTGATTAGGTCAATTATTTCACAGTCATAAATCAGTCTTGTACAGTAAACTGCGTTGCTCTTAAAATTGTTTCCGCGTTGGAATATGGGCAATATGACAGTTTCAATAATTATCAGACGAGGGTCAGACGGTTTCTCAAAAGTTCAATTGAGAAAACTAATCCGGATTCTACCTTGCAGTCAGATTTTTGTACAGATGGTGCAGTGTCTCTGCTCCAGATCTAGTGCAGGCTTGATATTTTGATTTGCCATATTTTTTATGGTTGATTTTGCGGACACCCAGAATCTCAGAAACACTGCACTGCTTGTTCATAGTCCTATTAGCGGACGCGTATGTCATTGTTTATGAATAGATTGCTCACCATCCCGACAATCCCGAACACATGCTGGTTATGTTTTTTTCTCATTGATCCTCAGTAGTCAGAAGATTGTACATCTTTTTTCATCGAGTCCTTCATAATTTTGACCGTTTATTGGAGAACTTTCTTATTTTGTCTTTGTTTCTTAGAGGCTCCAACTCCAGTGGTTCTTTCATATTGACTCTCAGTGGTCTGCTTTAGTTAAAACTCACTGATGCTTGCTAGTGTAACTTTTGCCTAGAGTTGTAGCCTTCGGAAAAAGTACTTTTTTTTTGTACATATCACGGCTGCTGCCGATATCTGCTCTAACATATATTTTGAGACTCGGAGAGCGTCTCACTTTTGCACACTCCTGACTTATCATCAAGTCTCTTAGGCCCAACATCAAGAATACTTCTTTGTCCTTCGATCACTTTCTTTCATCAAAAACATACACATCCCTAGTGAAACCCGCTGATCACCAGGTGAGTCGATGTTGCAGGTCAGGTTTTGTGTACAGTACTGCTATTAGCGCATGATTCTTCGATTTTGTTCACTTCAAGTTCTCAAAGCAATGTAATAGCACTGCCCTTCATGATGAGTTGGCAAGCTGCTCCAGCGTTTCTGATGCCCTCTGAGAATAGGATTTTTTGTCTGATTCCTTTCGGGTTTTAACTGTGCCATGACAATAGGCGGTATGGTATCATCATTATATCGGCCATCTTCAAAGTAAATTTTGATCTGTCATTGCCCTTTCTTTGTTCTTCCACTTCTTCTTCTCGTTTTGTTTCCCGAAAAGTTGGCGCTATTGACCGGAGATCCTGCCTTGATCTTCGCTTTTTCCAGTTTTTCTTCCAATAACTTTGCATTGATCCCTGTTCAGTCAGTCATTTCGTCTTGTCCTGGACAGTCATGGTCATTTCCTTGTCCCGGACAAATAAGATGTTTCGTCGCTGTTCTTTTGATATGTTGGATTGGTAGGAGAGTTAGCTTCGCTCGCATCAGTGGACAAAAATTAGCTTTTTGCTCACTTTTCTTTCGCATTCATCCAATTTCTCTAGAAAACTGTGCCCTACTGGTAAATTTAGATCTTTTTTTTAAATGCTGATTGGTCACTTAGCATTGCACTAGCGAGCAGGTCTCTGCCAAAAACGCAATTCTATTCATACCCCAACCAGTCCTGCTCTCATGATCACAATGATGCACTTCTTTTTTTTCTGAAAATTTAGCAGCGTTCTCTACTTTCCGCATGCGATGTGAGTCTGTTAGCAGTTTTCATGGTTAAATTGTTGCCAGGAAGGCTGCACTCCGCATATAATTGATTGATTTCATAAAATCAGTGGGAAGATCCAGCGCGGAAAAGTTATCTTCTACCTGCTTAGCTATTCTCACCGCTGCTTCTAATTTGCCTTTTTTGACAAGAAGCAAATTTTAGTCTAAACTTGACCATATGTCTACCCAGGTTTTGTTATCTTCTTCTTTTCCGGTTGGATTTGGATTCATGGATTCTTTTGTGGTGACTTCATCCAATGAATGACTCGACACAATCAGGTCATTTGCAGCCTTAGTTTCACACCCTTCACGGATTACTATGATGTTTTCAAACATGAAGGGTGCCAAGAAAGCTCTAGTTAACAGTCTTGCTATAAATACAAATTTTTTTCTCACGTCGAGGACAATCACAGCCCTCTGTTTCAAGTGTAAATTTCCTCTCACGGAAGGCGTTGTTACCTTCAGTTTGGTCCAATCTTTCTCAATTCTACCGGGCTTGGGAGTGGCCATATTGCTCATTCTTTTTCTCCTTGTTTCTTCAGAATCAGCAAAGTTCGTATAGTACAACACAGCGGCGTTTCTACTTGCAAAATCTTGATCCACTGTGTCGGCAAAGACTGCCACTCTTCTCCCGTATGTCTCGAAAGCTACCAATTGTGATGCGTATCCTGCAGAAACTGCTCCGAGTAACATACTTCTGGTCAGAGGCAACTCTGACATTTCTTCAGAAAACTCCTTGAAGTCATTCTAGTCCTCGGTCTCTTTCCTGATCCTCTGGTATGCTGTCATTATAGATGGTTAGTTTTATCAAAATGGTTGGTTTTTTCAAAAACGTTCCATTCAAGTGAATTGCCAGCATAAACACAAGAAATTGAGGTTTGATGAGTCTCATGTCTGTTGATGGGTTTCTAGTGAACTGTATCGTTTTCCATAAATCACAAAAGTTCGATTTATTTGTGACCCTTGGCACTTGAATTGTGGTCATTTTTGTCATTATCAATGCTCTTGGTCAACTTATAAATGGTCACTTTCATCTAATAACTGGTTGGCTTCTTCCAAAAATTTCCGTTCAAAAAAGTTAACTCATTAACTATGAGAAGTTGAAGTTTGCTGAGTCAATTGATTGTTGATGGTTCCATGAGAACCGGCCATTTTTCCATTTTTGAGAGATTTGTGACCATTGGACACATGATCCGCTGCCATGTTTGTCATTATCAAACGGTCAAGGCTTTTCATGGTTACTCTTTGTCATATTAGAGAAAAACTCTTCAAGTGTAGAAGTTACTGAAGTGTGGGCACCTACATTGTTCAAAAAAACATCGCATATGGAAAACATGAAGATTTTAGGGTTATTCAAGAAACAGCTTTTGGTTGATCTGTAATAATTCTCCAAACTCCTTCAACTGCCATTTTATAACCCTCGTTTTATTTTGCTCGAATTTTAGTGTGAATTCAAGCTGACAAAATATAAATAACTGTTGCAATTGGTGTTAAACAAAAATTTTTCACTCTCATTTCATCGAAAGTAAAATTTAAAATCTCTGTTAATAAGAAAATCAGCTGCTTTGTGAAATCTCATATTCAGTGGGAAAAATTTTCTGGCAATTTCACATTTTTTTTGTAGGATTTCGAGATTATTTCTTTAAGTGCATGACCAACTGATTCGCGACTTTGAGTTTCTAGAAATGAAGTTTTT